GCTGTTATATTAATTAGTTTGAATATTGCTGTTTTTTCTCTTAACAGAAAATATATCACTCACGCCTTACTGTTACCGGCACTATATCAATTGACAATATCAACTTTTTCTTCAGTTGAATACATCGCACACGAACGAAAATAAAAATACGGAAGCCAAAGCAACAATATTCAAACTAATTAATATGACAGCCAGATTTTCATTTTTTTTGGTTGCATAAAATTGGGCGCCCTTCAGAAGAGATTTTGTCATTCAAAAGTAGATATAGGGAAAAACAATACACATAAATCCTATGTCTACTTCTTAATAAATAGCACTGTATGTAATTATAGGCCTTAGGATAGCACAGTAACTATTATTTGTGAAATCGGAAAATCATAATTTATAATTATTTGCGCAATCGCGATTTTGACTAAATGTATTTCAGTTCTCAATTTCTTAGTAAAGTGATTATAGAGCAAATGTACCAAATTTGCTTCAATTCGATGCGCGATTGTGCCCAAAAACTTTTCAGCTCTCAGAGAGACAGATCGACCGACATCATTGAGATTTTGTTTGATTCCCTTTTCTGGTGCTTCAAAACGTGTATTTCCGTCATTTTGTACCCCAGTGCAATACCCCCCTTTACTAACGTGCGGGTAGTAAAAACGCTTGGTAAATGGAACCTTAGTAAACATGTAAACTTTTTACCAAAAGCGAAAACCCAAGTTAAAGTTCCGTCTTTTCCCCTATATAACCCAAGTTTGTTGCTATTCTTACTAATTGCCTCTTGTATTATTAATAGTTATTATATTTGTCTGTTCTATCGATGAAGCGTTATGCAATCTACACAAGACTAAAAGGGTCATTTGATAGATCCAGACCATGATCATCTATGACATATGGGATAATGTGACAGTATATTAATTTTTAGTGAGGATAAGGTCTCCTCAATAAAATTAAATAAAACATGTAAGTATTACATAAGTCAAGTGCGCGCATGCACCCCTCGTTTTAGATCGCTTGCAATGGGACATCGGGGTGTGTAAGTGGCACAACTTACAGATTCCACAACTGTCTGTGCAGCTGACGATCTGAACATAATGGGAAAGTCCATGTTTGGTAACTGTGACACAAAACAGGGCGGTCTTTACCGGGGGTGCCCGGGCGCACTGTCAGGTGCATAGACAAAACGCTAATAATACTACATTTTCATATTTGAAAAATGCGGAAATTACAATATTGTAGCGAGTATCCCAAACATCGGGGTGCCAGCAGCCACCATCGAGTCGATAAAAGAAATAAACCTAACGGAATATCGAAGGATCCTCAGTATTACCATAACTTTTTAAACGACCATTTAGGTATAGAAACCGTGTAAAATAATATAGTACACAAAAAATGTATCAAATTCATGTCTTGGGCATTGAGAGAATACTCTTAGCCTTTTTTCCAACGATCTTGGGGGATGAATACCGATTTTGACTTGTTTGATCAAAATATATGTGGTCTCAGAAACAGAATTTAACATATTTGAATCAAATTTATCAGATGAGCAAAAGTACATCATAGCCTGATGATGGGTGATTAACCCGAAATCGATTGCTTTATAGAAACAATAAAACATTTGTGGTTCCTTTTAATATTTCAAAGAATCTCAACGAACCAAAAAATTGAGAACTTCATTACATACATTACATAAAAGTACATCACTCTTTCGGCATCAAGATAAACGTTTAATGCGTTTGGAAGGTTTTACAACTCCAAATTCATGTGTAAAGCATAAGAGACCACAGAGAAGAGTTATATTGAATTGGTACACATCTAAGAGTAATAGGGAGTAATTTAGTGAAAGTCCGAACTAGGGGAATGAAATATGTTGATTTCTAATATACTGAGCCCTATAACTTTTGTTCCTGTTGAACCAGCTTCCTGAAAATCAATACCTTAATGTCCAAAGTACCCGTATGCCACATTTTAACACGATCTATTATAAAAAGAGTTATATAGGGCACACAGGCGAACGAACGGACGGACGGACAATACAAACCTATAAAGGATCGTGGGATCCTTAACAATTATACATAATTGGCAGTAACGTTGACTTGAAATTATTTTTTTTGCCTTATTCTGAAAGGGCGTTTTTCTTTAAAAAAAATGGTAGCTACCTAAGGGACGAGAATTAATTATGTAGAACATTTCGTTTCGTTATAAAATGCATTTCAGGAAAAATGTTCGAGGGACGAATTTACCTGGCGACTAACTTTAGTGGTATTAGCAGACTGCAGAGACCCACGATACGATACAGCATATTTCACACCAAGACGACGCTCACCCTCCAAAATTGATACAATGAAATCAAATAGGAATGCGCGTGAGCTTAGTGCTAGCAAAGGGTACATATTACTCTTTGGTGCTACTTTAGTGTGAACATTCCTATTTTATTTCATTGTATCAATTTTCAGCGTATGTTAGTGGAGCGTTCGCCTTTTGGAGTGAATGAAGCTTAATCAGTTCCTCACCGACCGACTTCTATAGATTCAACAGATTTGGTGAAAATCACTCGATTTGGAAAATCAAAGAAGGCTACCTTTCCCGCCGCCGACGGATTTAGAGAGCCAAAATAAAATGACTAATAGACAAAATACTGAAAACAGAACTGCAAAATTCGAAAGCGTTCGGGAGTTATCTTGTCCACAGACGTATGGACGTACAGACGGACGTACGGACAGAAAGTCCCAAATTATGAACTCGTTAATAAGTATTTATTTGATAATTAGTGCCAAAACACTCCCCAACAAGGATACTTTCAAGTGTAATTCATGTATGCTAAAAGCTCCTCAAAACTGGCAAATTATTATTTAAAATATCAAACAACGCATCGAGTGCGCTTTATCGGTCATAATTCGTGCTTTTTTGTATAAAAGCAGACTAAAAATGTATCTTATGTGTCGAATTACAGCTAATGTAAATGATTAATTCTCTTTTGATAACTATGGCTCTAAATTACCGCTTTATAAACCAACAAAAAAATGTCAATTTCTTTGCGCAAGAAAAGTAAGTGGATTCGAGGGTGGATTATTTTTTACTAGCCTCGGTTCCTTATATTTTTTGAAGCACTCCCATTGCGTAAGATAGTTGTTTTAAAAAAATCAGGTAACTTAAAATGTGAACGTGTTTCTAATAAAAAGAAATTTGTCTTCAATTTTAGGAACATCTGTTAATGACTAATGCGTCCTTATCATTAGAGACACATTTGGTGACTTGTTTTCAAGTTTAATTCAAAGACTCTGGAAGAAAGTATAAACGCTACGATATACTTCCGACTAGGTTTTTGGTTTAATTATACTATCAATAATTACTTATTTTGAATTTACGTCACGTCATACTTATCCAAAATTCTGTTTTGAGTATTAAAGTTACATGTATTTCTAGAATAAAAAGCGTATAATTTCTCCTGATTGAAACAGCGGTATAGTAACCGTGGAAATTGTTCCTCGTATTCTAGCGTTATTCCGCAAATAGTGTAATTGAAAAACTGTTAAAATACACGCTAAGGACCTTAATATCATAATTAAAAACTTACCAAATTCGATTCGCCAAGCCGTAGCAGGTACTCGTACCTACACATACACACCTCACCTGATCAAGTTTAGCGCGCAATTGCAACTTATAGATAACTTATGCGCAACGATATTCGCCCCAAATTCGTCTATCTTATCGCTTAAAACTGGAAAGTAAAATTTTCCCAAATTGTAGCGGATTTAAAGGAAGGATTCGTGAACAACAAAATCGTATCATTTTTCACACTGGGCCTAGGTCCCTTATGCCACAAAGGCACGTTCCGCAAAAAAGTTATATTTTTTTAAAATTAAATTTGCACTTGCCGTACAGATCTTTTTTTGAAATAGACAATGTGCACAGGCAAAAAAAATTACTGTGTCTAGCACAGATACCACCCGCACCGGATTGCAGTTAAAAATTATTTGGTATTGTATAGAATAAAGCTGAGCTAATTGGGAAAATGCAGTCGCCATTATTTGTGAAATCAAAAAATCATAATTTTTATTTATTTGCGCAATCGCGATTTTGACTGAATGTATTTCGGTTTTTAGTAAAATGTCTACACAACATATGTACCAAATTTGTTTCAATTCGATGGAATTGTTTAACCATGATATGGCAAAACGTTCAAAAATTGACAGTTTTTTTGTTAATTTGACACACTTTCGATGCGCGATTGTGCCCAGAAGCTTTTCAGCCCTCTCTTTTATGTCTAAAAATATGTGTAACAAATTTGTGTCCAATCGGTTAAGCCGTTTAATCGGAAATGAGAGTACACACACAGACAGAGAGACAGATCGACCGACATTGACCTTCTGCAGAGGCACCTCTAAAAAAGCATTATGCGGGTCACTCTGTAATTGGGCGCAATCCTGTTGAGGGCCCAGAACAAGAGAGGGATAATAAATAAATAAATCATTGAGATTTTGTTTGATTCCCTTTTCTGGTGCTTCAAAACGTGTATTTCCGTCATTTTTTACTAAAAAGCGAAGTTTGATATACTTTCTTCGCTATTTTGTTCAGTATTTGCGCCAAAGAAGGAATTTTTCGAGACCACTTTTCCATGGCTTCTTCTTCTCCACTGTTGTATATCCTTTCCTAGATTATTGCAACCAGGCTAGTTTTTATACGAAAAACAGACATTTTTGGATTTTTGTACCTCCCAAATTTTGCGACTCTATAGTTAAAATTTGAATGTATTGAATGTGTTTACGGGTAAGTAGGTATGCGCTAGAAAAATAGTCTGTACAGTATAACTTGATTCCTGATCCTCATAGTCAGTTCGGCCAAGCGCAATTATATATTGTACCATCTTTGTTGGAAAAAGGAATTTTATTTTCGAAAGGTGTTTGTTAAATACAATTCCACTGCAGCCTCTATGTTAATCTACCGCAAGACTTTTTTTCTAAAACTTTCTCAACACAACAATTTGCATTAACCCCCCTTTATTCTTACAGTCGAGTTCACATTTCGGAAGCAACATATCAGTGCTTAAATGGTGTGTATGACGTGGATCCAGGAAACGGTCAAGAACGCGACGCCTACTTAAAAGAACATAACGTACAGACGTATCTCATCAGGCAGTTGGAACCAATGAGGTCGAGAAAAAGACTGGCTTCACGTCCAAGGTAAGACACCTTGAAGCCAAGATTTTACTCACAAAAAGGTCCACGTCTGCTTCCATGAATCAACTATGTCGAGGGAGGGGTAATGCTAATGATATCAATTATTTCAGTATATTCTCCAATAAGATATGGCCTGAAGACGAAATAACTTCCAGCTTCCCAACTAGTCCGGTGTCACCAGTTTCTCCACCGCCATCGCTCTGTGAAAGGAGCGACAGTGGCATCGAGCACAACACCGTCGACGATGAAAACACGACGGATTGGACGCCTGAAATCCCTTTCGAAAACGTATACGTTAAACTTCACAATGAGATCTATAAAACATGTTTGTAGCTACACCATAGCGTGTCTTTAGACTTGGACGAAGACTTGGAGTCGATTAATTTCTCCATTGGTAAACAGAAGTACGATATGCGTACCGATAGCAAGATAGGTTCGGCTTTTGCGCTTTCCTCAACCGACAAGACACCAGAGATACTCGATCATTCGATGGAAATTGAAAGTAATAAGAAGATGCGGAATGCGAACGTTAATCCGTGGACGTTGCGATTTAAGGATAAAGAAATCGAAAGTCAGGTACTGATGCATACCGCTTATTTTGAAAGTAATATCTTCAAACGTGTATCTTTGTTTTAGTTCAGTCAGCTTCGCGAAGATATGTTCAAATCCAACATGTTGTGCTGTTTTATAATTTGGATATTCATTCTAATTTGCCAAACAGTTATTATGCCTTTGTAAGTACAGTTACATATCAATTCTTTATAGTTATGTATATTCTTACGTTAAATTTTGAAATCGAAATCAGTTTTGGTAGGGTTTGCAAAGGTGAACTTCTTTGGGTCCTTCCCATTTATCCTTAAACATGGTAAAAAAGAAGTCTTCTTCCCAATGTTTATCAAAATGGTAGCTTTTGGTCGCTTGGGTGCATTCATTTTAAGTTAAGGCGATCGACTCAGCACTGACCAGTAGATCGCGATCAACGGTTTGGCCATCTCTGGTGTAGGGTATTGTCTTGCCCGAGAGGTAAATAGTTCGCAAAGTAAATGTGTTTATACACTAATAAAGAAATCATGATGGAAATCATAAGAAAATCACAGGTTACCATGGAAAATTAGGGGAATTCAAAAATCGCATTTTTAACAACCCTAATTAATAGGTAAATGAAAATTAATTACAATCAACCTTAGCAACTTGTGAACTAGATTTACTCTTATGTTTTAGGATGGAAAATGATTGAAAACCTTTTTTCGTCCCATACTATAACATTTACCAGTTGCAGTGTTGTATCATTAAATATTTTAATTTTTTATTCAATGGTTGTATGGGCTTCATAAAGCAAACTACTAAATTCAGAAATTCATGAGAAATTAGGTTCTACCCATTTAATAAGGAAGCCACTTCTAGTACAAATTAAACTAGAATTACTAGGGCATTGTATTGCTTTAGGAAGGTCTGCACAAAATTACCCGATGGGTTCCATTTGTAGAACTTTCCCAGTTATGAATTTTGTTGATTACCTATTGAATCTGACATATTCTCAAGTAAATTTTTGAATATTTTTCAGTTTTCTAATCAGCAGAAATCTTTTCCATTCTTACTAAGCATTTCATTACTTATAACTTTCATATTCCGGTAATTCCGAAAAAATTTCTAGCTCCTGGACTAGTGCAGTGTCTAAACAATCTTGAAATTAGTACATAATTCCAAAATTCCTCCAAACATTTGCTTGTATTTGCATTTCCGCGCGGATGATACTTTTCTTTTCGCTTTAGCAATTTGGCTGCAACTATCTGCGTGGCCGTTGCTACGATCTTGCTTACATCTACTACAATTCTTGTAATGGCGGAAGAGTTTGAGCAGTTGCCAGAAACACTGAAGCACATCTCTTCAACTTTAGTTCACAATCATAGAAGCCGGAATGCCTTTATTTGTGGCGTCATCCTTCTAATGGCTATAGCAAGTTCGGTGGGATTATTTATTAAAATGGACCTATTTAACAGCTTACATTACGAGTTAAGGCAAGAGAACTTTCTTTCAACGTACAGTCACTTTAAAGAAGGCACTAGCAGCAAAACAAATAGATCTACTCAAGAGATCTTCATTAACCTTAACGTAATGGCAACCATTCACAATGTCACCATACACCAAGACAGTATATGTAACAAATCTTGCTTTGAACGCTTACAAAAAGTTCTTGGTATGAAAGACGATATGGCTAACGGTAATGACACGATATCACCAAACTATACTATGCCTAGAATTACAAAACGTTCGATAACGTTTGTAACAGACATTGTTAACGTTAGCAACAGCGGAAATACTAAAGTTGTAACCTACGACGCCTATGCTTGCTCCTATCCAGAATACATCGTATTTAGCTGGGTCCTGTGCCTAATCGCACTTGCAACTGCGCTAAAATTGTATTACTTAATCAAGATCATGCTGGCTATGCTAATGTTGACTTGCTATACTGTATTAATACTAGTACCGTTTAACGAATTATTTAATTATCAGATTGGAACCGCAGATGTCAGGTGAGCCAAACGTACCAGACAAAGCGTAAATCTTATGTCAGGTTTTTAGCCACTTCGTTCCACTGTCTGGGAAAATGTTGATTCTGTTGATTATATTCTTCCTAATGGTGGCGCATCACGCGAGGTTAGTTGAAGTTACATCGAGATTGGATTTCTTATGGAAGCAACAGGCCGAAAGGGAGCTCGCCGATATGCAAGAAATACGGCACAACAACACACAGTTACTGAAAAACATACTACCGGATCACGTAGCGAAACATTTTCTTAGAAATGAGCGGCTGAGTGATGTAATTGCATATCTTAATCACTCCCAAATTAACTGTATAACTGTTTCAGGAGTTGTATTCGCAAAATAGGGACGAAGTTGGTGTACTGTTCGCCAGTATACCAAACTTTATTGATTTCTTCTCTGAAGATATGAACAAGGGTATGGAATGCATAAGACTTCTTAATGAGATTATAGGTAAGCTTTCTTAATCACTATTAGGTACTAATTCCTGCTGAATCTTGTTGATTTTGAGTTAATTTTCCAAATGTTCGCCATTAATTTTCATCATGTGTTCCTTTTAAGCCGATTTCGATGAATTGCTAGATGAACCGAGGTTTAGCACCATAGAGAAAATTAAAACAATATGCGCAACTGCAACGTATATGGCAGCATCGGGACTAAATCCGAAACATAAGGTAAATAGTACACTCCATTTTTGTACCTTAGAGGGTCCATAACGGAAAATTTGTACGGTAGTTTTGATTTCTTACATTAATGTTTTTTGAGTAGCTGAATCCAAACGCAAATATCTTGTCGATTTTTGCGTATAACTCGGAAACTTTTCAATGTTTAAGTTTATATGAAGTTTCTTACAAACTTTATCATATAAGTTCGAACTCGAACGATGGTATTTCCGAAAGTAAAACATGCATAACTTTTACATCGGACGACCAGTCTAGGGTTTTGTTTACTCATGCCTCTAATAAAACTATGGGGGGGGGGGGTACTTATCATTCAACGCTTGTAGTAAAAAACTGTTTATTTCTCCCAGGGACATTCCTCTCCTCCTTGTTTCAAAATCAATACAAATAAATCACCCTATGAAGCTATCGGTCACTAAGTACGCAATTTAACTATTATAACCATTTGTTACGGGGGCTAAATGTAGCCCAGGGCGTTGATGTAAATATTGCACACAATTTGCGCTACCCTTGAATGCATTACATTTTACAAGGATTAAAACATTATCACTGCAGAAGATCGGTTTTGAGATTGTTCTAGCACTAAGGGACAACTTATACTGCATTGAATCTACTTGGCTTTGGTATATTGTGTAGTAGCTACATCTGGGGATATTTTAGTAAGTATTGTAGATGGAAACTTCAGGAATATATAATTAGTATGATTTATAAAGAAAAAAAGACCACTTGCTTTTTACCCTAGGGAATGTCAAGTATTGATATTCAATAAAGTACTATACCATTATAGTCCAGGCTAAATATATAGCTCTAAAATAATTTATTTTCAAAAAAATTAGCTACCGGGCGAAACCGGGTTTTTCAGGCAGGTGAAATGAAACAGCTGATTTTTTCCAAAAACTGTTTTTTTCGTTTTTTATTCTTATTTTTGCGAAAAAAAGTCGTAGGGGTTTGAAATTTGGAGGAAACATAGCTTGTTTTATGATAAAAAAAGAAGATAATTTTTTGGTCCTGTAAAGTTGAACCGTTTCCAAGATCTCACGATTTCTGAAAAAAAACCACCTCTTCTTCAAGGGGATGAAAAATCTATTCTTTTTCATCGTACAGAGGTGCGCGGGTAGCAAAATTTTCGTAAAGATAAATAAAATATTATTCCAATAGAAAAATTTTTAGAAAAGCGGCAAAAACGGGAGGAACAGTTTTAAGATATACCTACCGTTTTTGACATTAGGTAAATAGCTTTTGTTGCAACTAAATTAACGTATTGGATCCGCGCTAATAAAAAGTTTTTGAAATCTGTCTTCTCTCTCCTCTTTAATGTTGCTAAAATATTTTCTTTTGTTACCTAGTGCCCAACTGCCTTAATTAAAACATCTTTATTATTTCTTTTTTCTGCATTTTTATCGCAATAAAAGCAATTCGAAGTAAAATCGAATTCCTTTGCTTCCTGAACAACTTGTTTTTGTTTACTAACTCTTCTTCCTGCCTGTTTTGCAGCTGATGGGATTAAGCTGGGCCTGTTGATCGTTAATTTACAGGAATTATGTATAAAATCCTCATAAAGTTTATTCCAGGTTTTACATCTCAAATCATTTGCTTTGGCCGGTAAAACTAACGTTCTTATTGCAGATTTTGCAAGTTTAGCAACAGGCCCAACGCAATTGCACCAGCTATAAAACAGGCAGGAAGAAGAGTCAGTGAACAAAAAGAAATTGTTGAGGGATCAAGATAATCCGATTTTATTTCAAATTGCTTTTATTGCGGTAAAAATGCAGAAAAAAGAAATAATAAAGATGTTTTAACTAAAACAGTTGAGCATAAGATAACAAAAGAGAATATTTAAGCAAACATTAAAGAGAAGCAAGAAGACAGATTTCGAAAAAATCTTTATTAGGTAACATCCAACATGTTGATTTATCACGTCAAAAACAGTGTATATTTTAAAAATGTTTTTCCAGTTTTTGGCGATTTTTTTATCATAAAACAAGCTATGTTTCCTCAAAATTTCAAACCCCTACGACTTTTTTTCGCAAAAATAAGAATAAAAAACGAAAAAAACAGTTTTTCCAGTTTTTCTAGGAAAATTGGAGGTTATGTGAAAATAGTGCAGATACAAAAGTTGCTCATTTTCTATCATTTCTATAACTTTTACATTGAACATTTTCGTCTAAAATTAATAGTTTTGCCACAATTTGCAAACCACTTTCCACCCCTTTCAACTCCCATGATTTCACCCGCGGAAAAATTCAGCTGTTTTAATTATTTTTTGCGAATTTGTATTCATTTCACCTGATGCCTGAAAAACCCGGTTTCGCCCGGTAACTAATTTTTTTTGTAAAAAAATATTATATAGCCTGGACTATTATTCATAGAGTCGTGAATCGAATCTATGTAGTTAATTAACTTCTACGCATTTGTGCCCAATTCTGATAATCTTGCTGCTAGTAAATAATTTTTCTTCCCATCTCTGGTTCTTATTCTCTTGTTTCTGAAGTACTGATTACCTATTACTTTTGCTAGTATAAGAAACAATAAGTAGGTACAGCTACTTTTCAGATCACCCTACCCCCGCCCGAAACTACAGAAAGGAAAGATCCCTATAAACAACGTCTTTTCTTTTTATACACTTCGGCAATTTGATAGAGGGACCGACAGTTTTCCTGCCATACTAGGTGCTCAAAAAATGAAAGCTTTATTTAATTACTAGGCTGCTAAAAATCGCGGATAAAGTGCTATTGTCTGAATAAATGAGCCCACTTCCGGCGATACCAACCACGACCCAATCTGATAACATTTACTGCAACCCATTTCATTAGTTAATTAAGTCCCCTTAATAGATCGAGTTGAAATTCCGGAATTCCGTAGTTTCGTTACCGCCGATCGCGTAAGGTTACGTTTATCAGGTTTATTTACGTGTAAGCGAGCGACCTTGTCGGTTTGTATCCTAGTTTTAAATTAACATGCGGAAACTGAAACCGGCTAATGCTTAATTGACTCAACTGAAATCCTAAAATACTATTTCCCCTGCTCTCTACTTTACTATGCCGAGGGCTATCTGTTGCTATATAAGTAATTTACATATCTATACTGGAGTAATTAAAAACTTTACAGCTATGTTTAGAAGCTGGTAAAATAAAATAAATCTGAAAGCTACGTTTCTTTGTAATGGATCACCAAATTAGTCTTCCCTTCAGTATCCTAATCCTAATTCAATCTCTTCCATTTTCGTCCGAAACCTTATCCATTCTCATACATTCGCATCTTATGGATAAAGGGACTTTGAAAAGCTTACAGTGCCTATTTTTTTATAGTTCAAAATGTACTTGTAGTCAAGGAATGAAGTATTTTTGCACAAAATCTAATTTAATGCTAGAGGTGGAACAACAGTTGAAACTTTAAATTGAGAGTTATTCACTAAATCATAGCTTTTAATAATAAAGTGTGATTTTGACATGGAAGAGCAGGACATGGACAGGATATAGCATAAATACGCAAATTAACAAACATAACAATTCGCTCAATACGAGAAAAGGAAATTTCGTGTAAATAGGTACCTGTGAACTTTAAAAAGGAGTCAATTACCAAAACTGCCCATTTTCAGAGCTAAAAATTTGAAAAAGTTGGTCGTGTTTACATTTTTCAATGTTGGAGTGTCTCATTTTGTTAATAAACTTGTGACTCATATTCACTATTAAAAAAATGGAAAAAAGCAAAACTACCTACATCACAAATTTCCTGGGTTAAAATATCACCAAATTGGCTTGAATTTAAAAAAAAATGGGAAAATATAATATGTTGTTTTTCAGGATTGTATAAACATGGAAGGCCCAGAACATTTATGTACCTTAATAGATTTTGCAATTATGATGAAACAAAGATTAGATGACGTCAACGAACATTCGTTTAACAACTTTGGCTTACGAGTCGGGGTGTCTTGCGGGCCGTTGGTTTGTGGGGTAATAGGCGCGCGTAAGCCCGTTTTTGACATTTGGGGCAATACGGTTAATGAGGCGTCCCGCATGGATTCTACCGGTGTGGTTGGAACGATTCAAGTTCCAAAGTATACCGCGCAGGTGAGTAAGTGGTATAATGAAATGCTCTAGTGTTTGACTGAAATTGTAGTTGCTGGGAATGCGAGGGTATGAACTAAAATTGCGAGGATTAATTGATGTGAAAGGTAAGGGAAAGATGGAAACGTACTTCGTTATTGGCCGACAAGCAAGTAAACCTCCAGGATTTCAACGTCAGCCAAGCCAGTATAGCAGTTTGGCAGCGGTTGTTTACGCCATGGCCCAGGCGAGACGCAAACAGACTGTTAACATACGTAAATATTATTTACTGTAAAAATAACACTATTAACGTAATATTACAACTAGCTGGTGGCACAGTGATAACAAGGCCAAAATCTCAACAGAAAGACGAATCATCAAGGAAGAAAATATTTCCAAACTATAGCTCCATGCGAATTTCTCATCGGGCACCTACTAATCCAGTCCGTAGAAATACTACGCGAACTCATCGGAGCAATCTTCACGCTAGGTGAGAATTTCTCAAACAGTTTCCAATCAATCAGTATGAATTTAGGTCGCAACCAAACATGAGGCAATTAGGATCCGGAAGCAATCTAGAAAATTCGAAGTTATACAATAAATCCATCGACCAAGGTACACCAGTGAACTCAATGCACCGAATGACCATATCCCAATCAGCGCCGCACACTCCACTATGCGCGTGCCATTGCGATGGTCAAACAGCCAGATCAGTGCCAAGGTTACTATCAGAACCGACGGTTAACCAACAGACCAGTTTATCTCCCACGATGAACGCATACCACCATATAAATAAATCGAATCGTAACTCACCATGTTTGCAAGATAGGCTGTTCGAAACGGTGGCGGGAGATGCATCCGATGGTACCAAGATTTTAAAAGTGCCAGGCTACATTGTGCCAATTCATTCTCCTAGTAAAACGCAAAATAAAAGGGACTCCAAGTTTAATTTAAGGTCACCGTTAACGAAACGGGATGCAAAATGTAAACTAGATACTGTTAATAATATATCAGCTAACCCCAATGGAACTGATTTTACTTCAGACTTGACCAATGTATAAGGGATGTACTGACAAAAAAGGGAACAATCCTAGATTGATTTCGTTCCGAATTATAAGTATTATTTATTTTTAATTTTTATATCTTTTTATGTAATAAAGAGCAACTGTATAGGTATTTAAATTATTAAATGATGTATGTATATTTTCGAAGCTGTATGTTTTTAATGTCTTTTACGAAATGGGCCATTGGAGATACTCCGTTCGTCCGCCCGTTCCTAATTACTTTTTAGTCGAGAGTGCTATTAATCCGGAATGTTTTATAAATAATAGAAGACACTTACAGTCCGACAGGGCATCATCATTTACCCGCATTGTTATCTGTTGTTTTTATGTAAAGCCAGTAATATCACCGTGACCAGTGCTTAACATGTATGTAGGTATAGGTACACAATAATATCAGATTTTGGACATTTTTTCTACGTTTATGTTAGTTGAGGCACCGCGAACCGCCTCGGTTATTGCCCAATTGATCCCGCGAGTCGGTCGATCCAAGCGAATCGACATTTTATTGAAAAATTTATTATACAATCGTTAATTTTATAGAAACAAGGTTTAAATGCTAACGTTTGATGTAGATTCACACCGCCTCTTTAAATAAAAGGGAAAGAGGGTGAGAAATATTTTTGGAAATTATTCCCCTGTCTACTACAGTTATGAAAGAAAAAGGTCACTTAAAATACAACCATTTTCTAGAAAGAAATTCAATCTCTAGTTACGGCCACAGGTGCGATGACTAATTCCTTATCTCGCAACATGTGGCGGCAGTGCAGTTGAAAATTTACTTCGAACACAATAATATTACACTTTCAAATTATTCTTTGCAAAATGGTATGATCAATTTTGACTTTTTTGAAGTTTTACGGCACATCGTACGAAGTCAAAATTCTTTACATGAAATCTATAATACCTACTAACGAACCACGTTCTCCAAAAAAAGGTTTTGAATGTATTTCAAAGACCATTTTGCTGAATAGCGCCGAATGTTTCTTACAGCAAATGAGGTTCTTTTTTTTGTCCAAATTTACCTACTAACGATTTAGTATACGAACCAATAACACACAAATTACAAATCAAAAACTCACCATTTTCCGTTTTGGTTCGATCTCTGGTCGATGCACGAAACAAACACACCACACGTTTAGAGCGCGCAACGCGAAATGAAACGTATTAATTATAGTATTGGAATGCGTGTTACCTATAATAGGCGCTAATACCTAGGACGTAGAGGTTAGTTTGGCCTGTAGCGTCTAATCTCAAAACTGGCCTAATTGCGGCATGCAAAAAGTTTTCAATCGCAATCGCGTTTAAAATATTGTCGACTCAGTGGCGTGTATATGTTTAGGGATCTACTTGCAACCCTCCCCGTTTTCAAATAACGCAATTCCTAACAACTTTCCGTATTATTTTTTTTGTTGACGGGAGTCAAAATTTTCTATTTTTCTGACTGATTTTTTCTAAAAGGTTCACTGATGCGGTAGAAGCAAATCGATTTTTTATTTTAAAAGTTGCGTACTTTTTTAATTTGCCCTTACTTAGCACAGTTTATTTGTAGGGCTGCTCAACATCTACCTTACTTTTAATTATATGTTATACTTATTGGAAGGGGTGTTCATTTTTGGAAGAATCATTTCTTGTATAAAGGGATGCGAGGTGGAAATCGAAGACGGAAAGGGACTAATACAAAAATATGTAGGAAAAATTTCACCACAAATGAAGAAGTTTGGGTCGCGCATGTGCTTGCATCCCTTTCATTTTAATCTCGCGCGCACTTTCAACTTTTGGATTGTTTCCGTATGAAACCGTTGAATAATGTCATTTTGGAGTACCAGCTCAACCAATTAGAGTGCATGATAGGAAAAGCGAATGCAATAGTCAATGGTTTCGTGCCATTTCCCAAATAGTTCAGTCAAATTAGCTTTAGAAGTAATATAAACTGGGATGTTGTAATTTCACTCAACGAAACCAAGCGCAGAATCGGAAAATAATAGTCCCCCTAGCCGGAAACGGCCGGAACATATTGTTATTAACAAAAAACGAAGAAAAAATGAGAAAATGTCGTGTTTTTTCGCATTTACTTCGAATATCTCGTTAACTATTGTCTTACACTATGCTATTGTTCTGAGGGAAAGAATGAATAGAAATGAACTTGTTTAGAATAAAATTTTCTATAAGATACAGTTGGACCGGAAAGCTCATTTTCAATTGTTATTGTTTTTTTATGAAAAAATGTAAAAAATTAATCTCTAAAATTAAGAGTTTGTTATTACCAAGTAAAATTCTTCCGATTTTTTTGAAAATCCGTGTTTAGTAACTTCTTTTGATAACAAAACATTATGACAAACCCGATCACCGTAGGTCTCATAGTAATTGATTAATTAAATAAACAAAGTCAAAATGGGACGCTTTGTCTTTCAAACTGGGGGACTACAGGAGCGTTCCCAATTTTTTTATACATAGTTTATCCCTAAAACAATCTTTTCCAATAATTACGATGATTCTTGCAAATCGACGGACTGTAGAATTTTTTTAGTTAACTAACAAAAGGAATAGCTTCCGAGATATTACAAAGTTAACTTTATAATCGGACCTTGGCACTCGAATTAATAAAAATCATTCATTTTGGTGAAATAGAAGCATAAAAAATGTTCAAATCGATTTCCAAAAATCTATTTTCTCATTCAAATTTTCATGAATTGCATATATCTCGGGTGTAGATTAAATCGGCAACAATACACATATTATAATTAATTACATAGGTGCAAAAAATATGCGCTGTATGAGCCGCCACTGCCGTTGCTATTGTTTGCTAGTTGACGTTGCTAGAATTATTCGTCCTCGAACTTTGGGATGATATCTGCTTTTGTTTCTATGGCAGAGAATTGTGAGACACGTTACTTGCCATTATCTCTAGTTTTGAGCGATTTCAAAATGCAAAACGTTGCCTTGCCATCGACATTTTAAATTTCCCACCAAAATTGCCATGGCGCCTAAAGCAACCTCATTGGCTAATGTCTGTTGGGAAATGGCCGTTCCAGTGGAGTGTATTGTAGGAGCTTAATTTGTGGATATGGTAGAATTTTGTTTGATATCGTTCGATATTTCATAATTTTGCATAGAAAATCATGGAAAATGTGGAATACGATTTAAGTAAAATATGTCGAGTATGCAAATCGGAGGCCGCTTGTATGGCGTACGTATTTGTAAATGAAGAAAATGATGATGGTGGTCCCCGAATTGACGAGATGCTAATGGCATGTACGTCTGTTGAGGTAAAAAGTAAACACCCCTAAACTTAACATTTCATTACAAGACATTTTTTTAGGTCAATTACGGTGACGGTTTACCCCATGTGATATGTCGAGAATGCAAGGAGCAATTAACCAGTGCTTACTGTTTCAAGAAACTATGCGAAGATACAGACACAACATTAAGGGAATATTTGAGGGCGACTAAGGGCAGTGGTGGAGTGAAAGAAGAGTATTATCAGAGTCCGATTCCAGTACCTGTAACAGAACACGATATAACTTATGTACAAGACGAATTAGATGCTGATGATGTTGAGTTTACTACTAGTGATAACGTAAAACTTGACCCCGATGAAGAGCTACAATTAGACGATGATTACATCCGCTTCTTAGAAAACAGTCAAGTTCTACTGACCTGCCGGACATGTTCCAAGTGTTTCACGACACTTGACGGCTTGAAATGTCATAAAAGGCTTCACAACGGAAGCTTGTTCAAATGCAAGCAATGCGGGAAGCAATACACTCGTCAGAATCATCTGCAACGCCACGAACAACTTCACGGCCCTAGAAAAGTGCACGTTTGCAAGATTTGCAATAAAACGTTGACACGATTCGAGCACCTAAAGCGACATTTAGTAACGCATCTCAAAGAAAAGCCCTTCGCTTGCAACAAATGCAATCGAGGCTTCACCAGATCCGAACATCTGATGAACCACGTACATAAATGTAAAGGAGATCGTGTGCACATCTGCGACATTTGTAATAAGGGTTTCAATCGTGAGGATAGCCTTGCCGTACACAGGCATTTACATGACAATAAGCAACCCGTTTTGCCTACATTAGACAATCTAGATAACATCGACGAGCATTACCTCGAAATAGAGTATGCTGAACCGAATGAGCCGTCCGCTTACTCGGAGTCGTCGCAGAGCGATGCGGAGCCAGAAGCTCCGGCGGAATCTATAGAACCGCAAGTTGATATTGCTGAGAATAGTGATCAAATCAAGTTGGCAGTTATTAAAGATGTTCCCAATATCGGTAAGTTTCGTGTTTTCTACACGGTAGGTAGGTTTTATGCCATGTCCTATTATTTTGATTAAGCTGTAGAATTTCGAGGTGGTGTGTAGGCAACACATCATACATGTTAGATAACAGGTGTGCTTTAAAGGAGTTATAATAATCGCGCAGAGTTACTGTGAAACACACACAAGGAAAGCATATTATCAATGATATATTAAAAATAGTAATATGTAACTACTGTGAAATTTCTTACAGAAATTATTAGAATAATTACAAATGACAATTCACCATAGGTACGCTACACTACTTTTTATACTCCTCTTTAATTTACAAATTCTGTTTGTTTTGTCTTCAAAACCCTTTGGCTGTTGGATATACACTTTCTTCTCAAGTTTTCCATGTAGAATGATGCTGTTTTTCATATGCCCGATACCTACATGAAGCAGCTTTCAAGGATCCTCTCATTCTGTTACACAACACACTTTCCGAAACCAGCACAATGAACAGCAATTATTGTACTTATCAAACACAACGATGCCATACTTAACACCGACAAACACCAAATTACTGTAATGTTTTGAATGTATTGATTAATCATTGACGATCTCTTTTAAAGTCACATTCTCTTTATACAACTTTTTCTTAGGAAATTCTAAATAATTGTATTGCAAAAGAAAAACTGTCAAGATATTTTGAATGAAATATTTTTATTTTATAGCAGATGTTAAATTGACATTTTAATAGGTTTGATGAGTAGGCTAAGTCGCTTTTTAGCCGCGAGGGTAGATAAAGTGAAACAGATGACTGTGCATTCTAATGACATCTGTCATTCTTATTTCAAATAGGCCGCGATGCACGATATAAAATGACTTTCATAAGATATGAGAATGGGTACGTTCAGCCGACGCAACTGTTGACTAATACCGTAAACGTGTTTCCGTGTATTTATTAGCAAACGTCAATATATACCTGAACGGTTCTGTTGACACCATGTTTCATCATAACGCTCTCTCGTTAGAAAATATAGGAATTAGCATACACAGAAGTGCCAAATTCAGATTATATATATCATGAATATTTATGTATGTTATGTATGTATTTATACCATCCAAAGAAAAAAAAATATTGCTTCTGTAATTTTGAAAAAATGGCCGCCTTTTAATGACTGCATCTTTGTTTTATGTTCAATATAATTTAAAATATTGTTTAAACAAAATTAAAAATTTCTTCAGGCATTTTTTAAAATTTATTGGTATATTCCATTTGCCATGAATGCAACGTTTACTTTGAATCTTATGACATACTAACTACGACAAAATGTGAATTTATAAACATCTAATAGCCCAGGTAGTTAACTTTAATATTCTTAGTTTCTAATTGTTTATTAGTTAATGAACGATCACCCTGCATACATATAGTCTTTTCTTTAGAGCTTAATATACTAAGTTTTTGTTTTGTTTCTATATAGTATTAGGTTATCTATTTATCTGGTGGCAAACTATCATTTTTGTACTTACTCACAAATAGTATTTATATTGTACTTGATGGATCTCAGTAAAGTAGGTCACTGATTACAAAATTCGATTGTTAATTTGAATTTGAGTTTCAAAGTAATTATCACCTTTTTACACAATTTCAAACTGTGTTTTAACTCAATTCCAGGGCATTAGAGGCTTCTTTTTTTCCACCATATGTTAGATACAAAACATAAGTATAGGCTGTATCTAGGGACACTGAAACAAATGTATCTGTATCAAGATACCTAAATAAAAGTATCTGCCACAACACTGTACCTAACTACATTTAATAATTACTTTCTCATAAATTTGTTTTTTTTTGTTTAGTTGAATACTTTTTTTTTCTGCTCTAGTAATACATGTAGTAATGGGGTTAAGTGGAAGAGCTGAACTTCGCCCTTAATGTACTGCAATAAATCTTTGTTTTCTTTTTTTGGAATAATAAAGGCAATATTATTATTAAATGTTGCATAGGAGAATTAAACCCCATACCTGCTCCAACACAGCTACAGTGACACCACGCTCAGAAAGTCCCTGACAGGGCGGGTCCGAAGGCGCTAGAAATTTAGACCGAACATTCTGATGCAAAATTTAAAAACACTTTAAGGGATTTAAATGCCTTATCAGATCGTAGATCCAAGCTTTATGCGTCTTGAAAAAGACGAGTTTGTATAAAACTGGAGACTGAAAACGTAAAAAAAAGCAAATACAAGAACCAAAGTGTAGGTAAACTAAAATAACGTGAAGCGTCAACTGTCAAAACGGAATAATTAATAATTATGGCGCGGAATGTATCGCGTCGTTTTGCAGACTTTCTATTGGCCAGCCTGAATTATTTCAAAATTAGTTCGCATATTTTCCGGGGCTTTTCTGAGCATGGTAGCACTGTATAAGAAATAGCTCGGAGATATACAAAATTATTTTGGAGAGGATGAGTATGTGTCACTATACTGGATTATATGCAATATTTAATCCAGTTTGAAATAGTATCCTACCAACCAAGATGAATTTCTTAATACGAAGATAGAACCATACAAATTTCTATCACAGTTTTCGTTTTTCAGAAACCGACACAGAAATTTACGGCGAGCTAGATCCAGAAGAGTTACTTGAAGCGAAAAGTAAAATAGTGGCGGAAATGTTAGAAGGCGACGTACTATACGACGTAATGAAGCAGGAGAGAGAAAATTCCGACAGCGGACATTCAGAATATTTACCGACCAAGTCAATTACTAGAATGAAACGTAGGAGAGGGCGACCTCGTAAGTCGTTCAGTCCCAAATCCAGTCGTCCTAGGGGGCGTCCATCTCTACCGAAAGTTAAGGTCGAGATTACTGACGACAACTCTGATATAGATGGCGAATTTGCGTGCCCCAATTGTGACAAAGTGTTTAGTACAATGCACATGCTTGAAAAGCACGCCGAGAAACATGAGGGATTAAAAATTCACACGTGTACTGTGTGCGAGAAAAAGTTCACTCGTGCGAATCACTTAAAAAGGCACATGTTGTGCCACTTGGAAGAAAAGCCTTACGGATGTGACGTCTGTAGCAAACGCTTTAACAGACGTGACCATTTGCTACAGCACACAAAATTGCATAGCAGAGCGCAAGAATTTGAGTGTGAAGTATGTAAACGACTTTTTAGTCGACATGACCATCTGACTAAGCACATGGCCACCAAGCATAGTGTAGGTGAGAAGATTGTTACGGAGAAGAAGTTTCAATGCTCTGTGTGCTTGAAAGCTTTCACGACAGAGAAATATCGTGACGTACACATGAAGGGCCATACAGGTGACAAGAAGTATCAATGTCGTACTTGTGATAAAACGTTTTTGTCTAAGTCGCATCTGACCGAACACATTAAATTTCATAATGAAAACTCAAAGAAATTTCTGTGCTCCGAGTGTGGCCAGCGGTTTATTCGTAACGACTATCTCGTAATACATATGCGAAGACATCGTGGTGAAAAACCATTCAAATGCAAATATTGTGGCAAAGGTGAGTCGGTAAAAAAAATTGGTAATCAAACTGTCAAAATAAGGGGCATATATCGTGTCGTAGATCTTTTACACTCAACAATTTTAGGCTTGCCATCTTGTGTGTATCTGCAAATCAGACTGTTTGTGGAAACACATCAATTAAAACTTTTCACAGAACATTACAGCTTGAAACTTCTTAAATGGCAACTTTAATTAAGGATGGGTATTCTATGCTAACCGTATAGTCCATCTCACTCCTGAAAAGAGGATTTTCCCTCTTACCCCTCTTTTCCCAAGTGTTCATTTTATCTCATCTAAATTTTGCCATTTCTAAAAGTCCTATAACTGACAGGGCCGCTAAGTGCCAAATGCAGATTTTCACAAATTATCACAATTTATATTTTTTAGCCTACTTTTTATGAAAAATACTGCTAATTTAGAACGTCTGCGTGAATTTCGTGCGTCAGAAAAAATTTAAATTCGGTTTATGTGCCCGCGCTAAGTTGACTAGAATTCATATGCTTCAGCCATTCGCGCGAGTGCAAAAGTGTTACCGCTTGTTTCATTTTCGGTGAGCTTTTGCAACCATAAGGAACTGCATCTTTGAACCAAACACGAACCGCAAAAGTTCAAATTAAAGAAATGAAAAGTGTATCCATAAATAATGAGCAAATGACCAAAAATTAGTTGACAAAGCAATTTAAAAAAAAGTGCTATCACTAGACTTCAGCGCATTTTTAAGGGTGCAGATCAGTAGCTTTCAGGCCGTACATACTCTTCTTTTGCTGCTTGTTGGAATTGGTGCATACACGTCAACAGGCGTTTCTTTTACTATGTGCTTAAACAGATCTTCATGCTCCAAATATGCGTGTATAGTAAATTTCCAATCAGCAAAGTTCTCTTGACCGTTCAATTTTTTCATTCTGGCCTTCAGACTAATCAATGCAGGAATAACACGATAGTCCGGCTGAAAACCCAAAAGTTCGTCAATATTCCATTGCCGAGATTTATAAAAGGCATCTCAACAGCCAACAGTCAGTGAAACAATAAGCTCCTTTTTGAGAATCAAAAATGCGCTAAATACAGTTAAATCTTTCTGTATACATTTGATATAACTAAATGTAAGATATAATAGTTCAAAATGTGTATGACTGTTTGTTTGTGTGTAATGATACTATATAGGACAAACGCTAGTTGTTTTGGCAGTTCTTCTATTAATCATTCAGTACCTAAATAGACAGAACCTTTTAGGTTTTCCACGTACTACTGATCTGACAGTCCATGAACGATATCACACAGGTGAAAAGACCCATTTATGTACAATTTGTGGACGAGGATTTGGAAGGTAGTAAAAGAAGTAATTATAGTTCTCTTTTAATCAGTATTTTTAGGGCATACAATCTAACAGTGCACATGCGTACTCACACTGGAGAAAAACCCTACAGGTGCACTTATTGTGATGCCGCATTTGCTCAAGGGAACGACTTGAAAGCGCACGTGCGCCGACATACTGGTGAACGATTTCATTGTGATCTTTGCAGCGAAAGTTTTCTAATGGGCTATCTATTAACGCAACACAAAAGGACCGTACACGGTAAGTGCGCCACGTCCTCGATCACTTTCATAAACAATTTTTATTTAGGTTTAAATGTCGTTAGTCACATAAGAAGATTACAACCAGTGTCCCTGAATCGCGATCAACAAGCAGATTTTGAGCCAATTACGATCCCTCTACCTCCTGCTGTGGTGTCAGTTTCTGCATTCAATAATCACATAAAACAGGATTTGGACGATATAGACGATCCGTCCGTAATACCAAATGCCGCACCCAATGCTAATTTTGATCCACAGATTCAATCACAATTGACAGTAGCTCAACTTCAACAAATGGCACCACTTTAAAGTAAAGATAAAGTTTTCAAATTTTATTTCATACAGCCTTTTATTTCAGACATCTTTAAATTGTCTTCTCTAAACCAAAAATTGTAAATTAATGTACCATGGATTGATGCGCGTTAAACACTATTGGAGCATAAGAAACTAGTTACATTAAAAGGTAGCTTCCATATGTTTTCCCGATTTTTTTCGATATGGGGGTTAAGTGTACTAATTTGGAAAATGTGAAAGTTTTTGTACACTAACTTACTGTATGTGAACGTATATTGTTTTGATACAACTGTGTACATAAAACGATAGTAGTCTTAAATAAAAAGAATTGCTATTTAAACGATAATTGAATTTTGTTGTTAAGTTGCAATATTGGCACGTAGACAGCTTACGGTTAGTATAACTTTTTCTTTTTCACAAGGGTTTTGGAAAGGTGTTTTCGTAATACGTTTATTCCTCTACTTCCATCTTTAATCATTTTTGATTCTTTTTAACAATTAGTAACTTTGTGCTTGTGGCTACTGTGATTAATTTTACTGCATTTCTTTTCAGGACCGATTTAATATTGTGCCTGCCACTATTCTAATCGCAAGCACCTTAAAACACTTTTGTCCTTACCGAACATCATCAAAATATATACAGTGTGTTCCAGGTAGAACACACCATACGTGGGTGATTGGGTACTGTGGGCACAAGGACCATTATCGCGTAATGATACCGGAGGGATCTGAAGTCGTTAGACGTATTCGTTTCTGGGGATTTATAAATTACAATCAGTTACACTAAAATCAGTTCAGTTAAATTTGAAGTGTTCGTTATTACATTACCTAAAAAGTAATGGGCTGTTTTACTAGCGGTAATATTGTTTAAATTTTGCTCATACAATTCATCATCGCTCATATTAAAAGAATTCTTGTTAATATTTAATGTCGAACTTTGTACAAGGAGATTTCCGTAAATCAATCAATCAAGTAGTATACGCAGTATGTTGAACCAAATAGTACGAGTTTTATTGGTATAGGAAACTGATTCAGAGGATATTCGACAGGGACACTACTGATAACAGTTGTTAAATGTCCGATAGAAAATTAAACAAACAGCCTGGGGGCTGGGAAGTTATGATCACAGTTTTCTGAGGTTATGTTAATTGAACGGTACCAACTTTTCCCGCAATTAGATAATAGTGATTTCTATTCACTTGGTCAGTAGTGGGGGCGAACTCATTGTAAATGAAAAAAACATTGCAATCACTTCAACTGATTTAACTTAGTTAAATCACCTGAAACAAATACAGCTATTGTGTCTAAGGATGTGATTTTCAAAACGGAAACGCAGTCGACAGCTCTTTGATTACTGTAGCAGTAAAATCCAGTAGTGAGTGTGACGTCACTAACTCAGAAGAAGGAGCATTATGCGGAGCACTCTGTAATTGGGCGAAAGCCTGTTGACGGCCCAGAACAAGAGAGGGACAATAAATAAAATAAATAAATAAATGATAGCTTATGAAGCTGAACCGTCTACGTACACCGAATCCATTGAAAGTTCTCAAGGCAAAAATTGGAAAGTGGCATATGATTTAGGAGGTAAATGCGCTCAATGAAAATCACACTTGGGATCTAATTTCTAGGCCGCGCTGATAAGACGATGATTGACTGTCATCAGTGGGTGTATAAGGTCAAGTACAATGGTGATGATTCAGTGGAGGGTTACAAGGCGCGTCTGGTTAGCCAAAGGCTATCTGCAACGTGAAGGGATTTTTTTCACTGAAACCTTCAACCCTACCGTAAGATGGGACTGCATTCTCTGTCGAGTGTGCGCGCGTGAAGGACAATAATTCAATTTTACGTCAAAAGTGCTTTCCTTTATGGAGAGTTGGACTTATGGACTACACCAAGCTTTTAGATGCTGAAATAAGACGTTCACCAGTTTTTTGAGTGAACTTTAGAACAACATTGACTTGGATGATGGCCTGGTAGTTAGCAGGGATGAAAAATACTTGCAAAAATATATTCCTGTTCTCAATGAAACTTTCCAGTAATGCAAAATTTTAGCTAGGATTGAAAATTCAAAGGATGGGTGATGGTTCAATTTGTATTTCCCAGGAAGACTACATTCATAGCGGTTCCAGTTTAATTAATGTTAAGCTAGCCCCCCCCCCCCCTCCATACGTGCTCTTGTTATACCTTTTCGGCATCCATTTGTGTGAAATGCAGACTGTATATTTAAGGAAGTTATAAGAAATAAAAAACTACACAGTATGTAGGTTTATGTAGATAAACATTCCAACATTTTATAATAGCAATACTTTAAATCAAAATCCATATCGTACCAATAATTTACAGCGATGCAACCATGGCTTTGTTGTACATGGTGAAACCACAAACTAGGCAAGTATAAACAATCCCCTTCATTTATTCTAACTTTATAAACGTTCGCATTTCTAAACTGTGGGTATAAGTCTGTGTCTGGTCTTGAAGGATCGATGGATACCCAATTTAACATTTCATATTTGGAATTTTCCAATTTGGTTTCTATTTCTTGACAACCTCTAATTTGTGGTTTTGGTATGAAATGGTCACAATCGCCGCCACCATTTCTTAATTTTGGTTCAATTTCGTAGTGGTCCGTACTAACATTTTTAAACGTCCCAACTGGATAATATTTGTAAGGTACGTGAGGCAAGTCTGTCGGTGGAATTAGTATAAAATCCTTATATCCACTAATTACACAGTAGATATTCTCATAGGGATCTTTGTGCACTGAAAAACCAAGTGTGAATAACCTGCTAGTGAAGTAAAAACTTTAGTTCTCAAATGTTATTATAATTCCAATTGCAAATCAAATATTTAAGATCCAAAATTGATGGTATCTATAGAAATTCACTCATACAGTGTTATAAAATAAGCCTTCAAAGGAAGGGGACTATAACTTTTTACTCTGATAGGAGCTGCATTTTGATACTCACTGCTTGTAACTGCTCTTTCATCTCCCATCCAGAAGTTCACGGCGTCTGGACTTTTAGCAAAAATGTCCTTGGCCCACTTTAATTCGATGTCTACATCATTAATTAGCTCTTTGAAGTCCTCCAAGAGATTTGAATTCTGCTTTTGAATGTAACATACAAAGTTTTTCCTGCAAAACGAATATTCTAGAATTCATACATCTGTGCACACTCATCTTACTTAGGGGCGGTCATATTGCTCAAGAACTCGGACATTCTCATTGTTCTTTCTTCGGGCATCGCGAAGAAATCGGTGTTATTTTCAGCAATCACACCATCCGCGTATCCATTGGGAGTTATCGCTACCGTTACATCCTTGTCTGGTATTTTTTGCCTGTAATATTTTAATTTGTTTAAATGTTTTATAAAAGCAAAATGTTTCTACACTGGCTCTGCTTTCTTTGTCTTTATAGAATGTTAGGATTATCTTATTATTATAAGATATCTTATAATTTGAGAAAAAATTTAAAAAAGAAACACTGCATAGTGATTGGGAGTACATTTAGTAATTTAGTCTGTAAACAAAAGCCTTGACTTGAGGTGGTAGACGGTCGATTTTAGCATACTCGGGGTAGGCCATAGTGGAACTCCCATCGGTTAAAATTTTGATCACTCTCGTTCAGTGGATTTAGAGCTAGCTCCCCTAATATATAAATACCTAATTAAAGCACTATATTGTAATAGGTAGGTATATACACAGAAAATGTTAATTTTTTACACAGATTAACTCTGAAAGGTTTGAAAGTAATTACACCTTGAATTACACTATAAGTACTCACGAAGAGGTACTAATACAAACCGCCCGTACTCTTAAACGAGCTATCTAGCTAAACCACAAAAACTTTTTCCTAGGAGCGAAACAGTACCTAGATGCCCTGTTTAAAAATCATTCAAGTGAAGTGCTACTTAATCGAAACAAATGTGCTGAAGAAAGTACTTAAACAGTGTTAGTTGAACAACACCAAGACTTACACACAAATCACAGACTTGCACTCACAAAAAATAATCGATATTCCACAGCTTCCTTGCTCTCCAATCTCTGCAAGCATTTTTTATCACTACCGGCATATTTTTTGCAACATATTTTCTGTAAATACTCCATGACCATTGCGGATTATTTGCCTCTATATCAACACAGGGTACTTTCGTATGAAAATGCAGCAACTCTAAAAACGCGCCATAAATAAACAAATTTTTAGGTTAGGTTTCCCATTGATTGAATGTAAGAAGAGAAAATTATGTGATTTTACCTTTAGTTTCTTCTTGAAGAACATTTAAGCAGTTTTTCAACGTTTTTTCGTAATAACACATTTGCGTTTTTACAGAGAAAATTGTCAATAAATGTTGAGCCAGTTGAGAACATCCACCCTAAAGGGTTGGCATAGGGTTATAAGAAATTGTTCTACAAATGCCGATTTGCACTCGATAGTACGTGTTGATCATGCAGGCGAATTGGGAGCTGATCGAATTTATGCGGGGCAAATGTTTGTGCTCGGACATACCGAAAAAGGTCCGTTGATACAGCATATGTGGGATCAAGAAAAGGCGCACCGTGCGAAGTTTGAGGAACTTATAGTGAAATATAGAGTACGTCCCACCGTCATGGTGCCCATATGGAACATTGCCGGGTTTGCTTTGGGAGCAGGTTCTGCACTTTTAGGGGATAAAGCTGCCATGGCGTGTACAGTTGCTGTCGAAACTGTCATCGTAGAGCATTACAATGATCAGTTAAGACAGCTTATGGAGGATCCAAATACGAATAAAGAAATTTTGGAAACTATAAGGCAGTTTAGGGACGAGGAACAGGAACATCACGATATTGGAATTGATCACGGTGCTGAACAAGCACCATTCTATAAAGCGTTTTCAGAATTGGTCAAAATGGGATGCAAAGCTGCCATAAGTATATCTAAAGTTATTTAATGTATTGCCATTTATATTTGTTAATTATTAAACCCTGTTTTGTCAGTAGGTATTTAATCAAATTTTGCAATAAAATTCTTAAAACAATCCTTTACTATGTACCTATTCCTTAGATACACTATACTTATACATAATGTAAATGTAACGGGCGATCAAAAAAGAATTGACGTCGAGTTCAAGTTAAATACGGCGATTTCCCATGCAAACAAAAATTCCAAAGGTGACTCCACAGCATCTCTTTTGATCGCATAGTATCTGTAGTATACATACTGTATAGTCTAAAGACAGGTTCTAAGGTGTTTTTTTCTCTGTACAAAAAGTAATGCCAAAGTAACTAAATATGATAAGGATTATCTAAGACAATAAAACTCCAGATCGAAAAACTAACATTTTCGCCTTGAAGAGACGGTCACGGGGGTGGCAAAAACTGTATAACCAAAAATGGATTACGGCATTCAACGCCGCGGTGCTGATCTCGACATTCAACTGTCAACTCTGAAACCCCGAACGAGGGGCGAATTACATATCTCGTGGGGGCGAGATTTTGCTAATAAAAACTCTTCGGTTTAGGATCTATGTGTGATATATGAGTTACGATTCACTAATTTTCACATATTTTGTCGTAACATTGAATTTGCCTTACAAAAGTAATTATTATCCATCTTGCTCTTAAGAGAAGGATTTTATTTCACCAAAGTTGAGTCACATTTTGTGTATTTCACCCTCATAGAATCTTGGTACCTACTTGCCTGACCCATTGTTCCCAAAACATGTTTTTAACCTATATAATGTTTCTGACAGCAATGCTCTCATGTATCTTGTAAAAAATTCGTTAGGAGATGCGTCTTTTACTGCACAGCGGCAACGGTGCCGAAATTCGTTATAACATGTGTCTCGATGACCGTAGAGCTTCTGCTTCTACACATATATATACTTCTCTTATATATATGCTTCTACAGGTCTTTAACCTAAAGAGTGTCCTTAAATTTCAATCCTTTTTTTAAACTAGTAACTTTTTTATTAATTAAATTATGGAGGTAGTCGAAGATGTAATTGAAAAATCACCTTTAAACGAAGAAGAATTGCTCAAAAAACATCGACAAGAACGAAAAGACCTACAAGCCCAGATACAATCTTTAAAAAAAGGTGTAGTTAAAGGCGATAAAAAGAAAAAAAAGGAAGTTACAGAAATGATATCGAAATTAGAACAAGAACTGGATGCAGAGCAAGCGCTGGAGTTGAACAACGTAGCTGCCAATGATACAGTTTCATCCGAGCTTTCATCAATTAATGAGGTAGTCAATGGAGATGTACCCACTAAGATCTCCAGAGCACAAAAAAGGAGAACGAAAAAAGAAACCGAAAACAAGGAGCGTGAGAAGAGAATAGCAGAGGAAGAAGTCAATCATCGGCAAGGGCCACGTGTCGTCGAGTTAAATACCATTAAAGAACTGCTACAAAATGAAGGACTGCAAATTTTTAATATACCCGCGGATGGTAATTGCTTGTATTGCGCCATTAATCACCAACTGGAGGTGACGGGCCGAGTCAGCTCGAATGTTTCGAAGCTACGTAAACTTACTGCTTCATTTATACGCGACAATAAAGAGGAGTTTCTTCCATTCATGTATAACGATGACGACGATGAACTTATAGGAGAAGACAAGTTTGAGAAGTATTGCAAAGATGTAGCTAATACTAAATTGTGGGGAGGACAGTTGGAACTTACTGCCCTGTCGAGCGTTTTAAAGTGCCCCATTAAAGTTATTCAAGCTTCGGGCCCTTTAACTATCCAAGCCGAACAGTACGAAGGTCCACCCTTAATTCTGACGTATCACAAGCATTTATATCGATTGGGGGAGCATTACAACTCGACCATTACTTCAGTAGACGATAATATGCAAGAAAGTGAAGATACTTTTGCCTAAAGCATGTCAATTTTTTTTTAAACATTTTTTTTTTAAATGGTTCTGTTTTGACCATTTTTTTAATTTATGTATGTATTAAAGAACTTGAAATTGATTAAGCCGATAGTATTTATTAAAAAATAATTACATATGTACACAAATGGTTACTTCCATTGAATTATCGCTAATAAAAATATTTAACTACTTTTTGTTTTAAAAATTTTAGCAGTTCCATCATCGGATGTACTAAGAAGATCAGTACAATCCTTCGTTAATGATAAACTTAAAATGTTTGCATTATGACCTGTTAAAACTTCAACTAAAGTACCAGATCGTGTATCACAAACATAAATACAACCATCTGTACAACCAACAAACATTTTATCATCGACTCCCCATTTAATTGTGGTTATAGAAGTATCAAACTTTGTTTCGTGTCTTAGATTATTTTTTTTATAGTCCCAAACGCACAGTTTGCCTGATATTGCACCAGTGGCTAGCAATCCTGACTCAGTGTTAAAAGCAACCACCTCCACTTCGGTTTCGTCAGCAGTAAGATACGACGCAGTTTGGGTACCATCTGCTACTTTAAACAGTTGTGCAGAAGGGGCCACGATACACAAGTTTGCATCATCCGTAATGTCTAGAGATGTAATTGCCAACAAAGGAATATTCGCAGTTAATTGCCATGACATTTCGCCACTTTTTAAATCCCACAAACGTAATTGGCCATCGCCATAACCGGCTAACAATCGTTTGCCATCTGCTAGTATTTTGCCACTATGTGTAGATGTCCCGTGTGATGGCAGCACCTTACAATTTCCCTGCGGAATTTGCCACACGTAGATATCTCCAGACTGACAGCCTGCTATAAGAACATTAGCCATGTGATGCCATAGTAGCCACTCCATGTCATCTCCTTCGTAGCACCAAACCAGTTTCTTATTATGAACATCCCAAACTTGTATTAATCCACTCATGTCACCAGTGGCGACAAATTGGTCATTAAAATTAAAACTAGCTTCAACTACTGAATCCTTATGCCCGGTGCATTCCAAAAGGACTTCGCCGGTTTCTGTGGACCAAACGTAACCCATGTCATCTTCACCACCGGTAACCGCTAATGTCCCGCTTCTGCTAAACGCTCCTGTAAAGACTGAGGTTGGATGCTTCGAAAACGTTAAGTGCGCTAAATCAATTGCTTGTGCATAATCCCCTTCATCCTGAGCATCCTCATTTAGATCAATATCATCAATTTCTTCGAGTTCATCTAAATAGACCACTTCTATGTCGTCAAAAGTTTCGTTAGGTTCTTCCATCGTATTAAATTCCAAATGATTTAAAATTAATTAAGACTATAAAATGAGTAAAAAATGAATTAATTGCTAATTAACCAAAAACAACGTGCTTGAGGAGGTTCATATCAAACAGTAGAGCTACTTTGTTACAGTCAAACTACTAAGTTGATAGTATTAGAACTACAACAGGTATTATGAACTATCTTGTATTTTGTAGTTTGATTTTACTAAACTGTGGCAAATACCTTATTATATTAAAGTATTTGACTGTAGCTACTGGTGTACTTCACCGCATAACAAAAACGTATATAATTAAAAGCATATTGTCGAATGAAACAACACCTGCACAAAATGGGCCTTTAAGTATACCTTCCTTCTGCGTGTAGGATACACATGTGGAGAGGAAGCAGTACTGCACTTCTGCCAATACTGTCGTTAGGCGTTAGAGGATTCTGGGGAGAACGAATAACATTCTGAACTTTTTCAAAGAAACAGACATCTCAAGGTCCATATAGTACAGAGACAAAATTAGGATACCACTTCAGTTTTAAATGAATTAAAAATAATAACACTTCATCGTATTTTATTGCAATGATATATACTTCTGGTACACCTACTGACCTACAGCTTATAGATATATAAGCAAATCCCATACGTAGGTTTTATTTTGCAATAATAAATATTAGGGAAGTTGTTACATTTGTATAGCTGTTAGCTGTGTACCCGAACCCGGACTTCATAGGTTTTTTAGGCGAGCCAAGAAAGGTTTTTTAGGCGAGCCAAGAAAGGTTCACCTAAAAAGGCCTGGCGACAGCCCTATAGGATAAGCCTATGGTTGGTTCGTTCTAGAGCTTTCGATAACTTTCATGTTCCTAATTTGTTTTTAATTGTTTGTGTTCTACAAATTTTATTTAATTAGTTAGATTACAAATATTAGAATAGAATAAACAATGATATTTGATATTAGTTAAAAGTGGGCATTTTACCTCAGAGTAAGAAATAAATCTTACTCTGAGGCATTTTACCTATTCATTTTCAAGGTCGTGTCTATTATTTATTTTGTTGTTCTTTGCTTTGCCACGATTCGCCACTGCCCTGCCACTTGTCTGCATTAGTGCATTTGCATACTTAACGTCGGTGTTGCCGGGTGTGCAGTGATTCGAAAATTTTTGTTATAATCGTCCAAAATGAATAAAATTGTTGGACATTTACGTTCCCTTGATGCATACCCTAAAACTACTGAAGATTTCAGCGTGAAAACCTTCCAGGGTGCAGCAAGTTTGTTTACATTTATTTAACCTTAAATCTTTGTGTTTTTACCACTTTTAATTGCAGTCACCTTTATATCTTTGGGAATTATGTCCATGCTATTTTGGATCGAATTGTTTGATTACTTATCACCAAACGTAACAGAGGAACTGTTCGTAGATACTTCACGGAATCCAAATATCCAAATTAATTTAGATATTATCGTGCCGACTATATCTTGCGATTGTTAGCTACTTCCTCTACTTTAATTCCATTTAAGACACTGCACTTTCAGTTTTATCACTTGACGCAATGGATTCCTCTGGCGAACAACACCTACAAATTGATCACAATATTTACAAACGTCGTTTAGATTTAGACGGTAAGCCCATTGAGGAACCTAAAAGAGAAGATATCACTATACCAACTAAAAAACCTAATGAGGTAGGGGTCGTGTCATTATTGGTAATTATTACTACTGATTACTTTAGGCGGAAAACTCGACAGAATGTGGAAGTTGCTACGGAGCCGCACTTGATCCGAAAAGGTAGTTTGGTGCAATGTAAACATTGGTTTTGGAATTATTTTGTAGATGTTGCAACACTTGCGAAGATGTACGTGAAGCATACAGAGAAAGACGGTGGGCCTTTCCTGATAATCCCGAAAATATCAGTCAGTGCAAGGATGAGCATTTTAATGAGAAGCTTAACACGGCTTTCTCGCAAGGCTGCCAGATTTACGGATCACTTGTTGTCAATCGAGTTAGTGGTAGTTTTCATATAGCTCCAGGTCGAAGTTTTAGCGTAAATCATGTACACGTACATGACGTGCAACCGTTTTCTTCTACGTCCTTTAATACGTCCCACCGAATACGGCACATTACATTTGGTACAAATATTGACAGCAAATCGCACAATCCACTAAAAAATACAGTAGCAATCGCCGCACAAGGTACGAAATCTTTATTTACTAACGTTCTACATTCCTACAGTTTACAAATAGTAACTAAATTTATCTTAAGTAAAAAATTTACACCTCCCTAATTAAAAATGCAGGTATGTTTAGCATCGCAAACCAGATCCGATTGCTAGAAAGGTTCCAAACGATCCACCTCCTTGTAACATAACCTTTCCCACTGTATTGACAAGTTCCCTTCCTCGTAAACCGCCCCTAAGGAGTGAAATGGTAAAACTTAATACTAGAGCTTCCTATCGTTACCTTAAGGCAGAAAATCCGCCAAATATTGCTCCACTTGCCATACCCACACAGCATCCCAACATGAAGCCCATTTTCATTCTATCGAAACATGAGGGGCCCTGTTGATAAACTCCACCGGGTACAGCGGGCATTGTGCTAAAAATATTTATAACCTCAAATTTTCTGTGGAATTTGAAAATATGTCGTTTTTTTAGTAATAATTTTGAAAACTGGTTAATTCTACTGTAATTTGTTAAAAAATTGGGATTTTAACTTTTGTCAAAATGACGTAATTTACCTTTTTTAATTTTTTTGTTGCCCTTTTGATTAGTGTGGTCAGATTTCATACAGGTGCAATATTTATACAGGGATCACAATTATCTGCGATGTATACAGGGTGCTTATAATGAATATGCGCAATAGGCATTTTTTTGCTGGCCACAGTTTTAAAGTTGTGCTTTATTAGAAGTTAAACAGGTACCACACAATAGTGGTTAGAGTATTACCATTGTTTATTCTTAGTAGTTAAACCACCGACCGTTAGTACGTTGGGTAAAGTCCAGAGAGCATGTTGGGTAAATTGTCGCTTTAAATAATTCTTGTATTAGTTCCAAACAATAGGGCAATAGGGTTACAATTTACTGACGACAGATGGCGTAATCGTTGCATTCATATTGTGGTATGTGATAACGGAGCGTATCACATTACTATCGCATCAGCACAAAAGACGTATTTATGCATCCACGCTGAAGAATGTACCATGCTGTCCGATCGAGTAATTTTTAAAGTAAAAAATCTATAATTGGTTCAATATTGAACATTTTACTAGTGTAACTTTGTACTACAATAGATAGGTACTGCTTCTACAAATGCAGAATGCTGAATTTTGTCCGCAAAAGAAATAGTATGTATTACAAGCACAATATTATTTATTAGAACAATGGGCTTTTGTGTTATGTGTTTGTCTACGGCCTTGTGTTGGCGTAATCTGTGACTGTTCTTTCTCGCCTTTAAAATTTAAATTAATATTCCCAAACAGTTTCTAAAAAATGTTTTGAAGTGCCATATTTTTTTATAGGGAATCAGTCTACTTTTTCCTTAAGAAATTTTACAATTCGTTTATCGGCTAATATAAATTTAAAGTGTTTAAAACATAATCGGAGTACTATGAAATATGTAGTTTTAGTATGAAAAAAATTCTTAGACTTTATGGATTCGCAATTATATAAAAGAGCACTCACTGATCTCGAACGGTTTAAGAATTTTAGAATGGAGCCTTGCATCTCCAAATATTTAGAGAAAAATTGACGTATGTCAAAAACCATGACAGATAGGTACGCAAATCTTAAATACGTTGAATTCGAAATAAAATGGCGTATTTACCATTAAACATTCCATCCCTCATAACAGTGCATAATATTCGCTGAACATAGGTAATTTAAATTCTCATAGACCCCTGTAGGATATATCATTGCCAGTTGCATATCCCTTTAAATGTAATTTGATCTATGTAAATAAGTAAAGGTGAGTGGGTCATTGCAGAGATTCTTTAAATTAGAGAATACGCAAATCAATTGAATAATCAGATAGTACCACAATTCGACAGGATGTGGCAGCACTTATTAGTAACTTCGGTGGAACAACTATAAATCAATAAACAAAGGTATTCCTTGACCAGGTGTCGTCCACAGAAAATTTATTGTATGGTATTGTTTAAATATTTATAGTTGAACAGAGTCATCATTATAAAAAAACACTTATCGATACTTTCATTTTGATAGAAGTTGCACTTTGAACATGCATGATGCAGTGCACTCTATTAATACGAAACAAAAGCATATCTTTTCACCTTAAGGGTCGTGTCTAAGTATGTTTAATTGAACAAGGACAGAGTATAAAATATTCCTGCAGTTAAGTAAAGGCTTAGTTTAGACTGTACAGCTTGTAATGGGTATTTACAAAGTAATACTTTAACTTTCAACACTGGTCCATTTCGTGAATTGCTTTGAACTGTGAACACTAACCCCAATTGGTAGGTAAGTACATAAGGAATTAAATTCGGTTATAACTTGTAGGGTTGTTTTGCAACATATTAACTTGCGTAAGCTAATTCGCATTTCATTTTTTCTTAGGTGCTACAATGTTTCAATATCACATTAAGTTGGTTCCGACGATGTATGTGAAACTAGATGGCTCAGTTATAACTTCCAGTCAATATTCTGTCACGAAGCACCAGAAAGTGGTCTCGATTATAAGCGGCGAATCGGGAATGCCGGGCGCGTTCTTTCAATATGAACTATCGCCTTTGATGGTGAAGCGTACGGAGCGAAGAAAATCGTTTGGACATTTTGCTACCAATGTTTGTGCAATTATAGGAGGAGTTTTTACTGTTGCCGGCCTTATTGACTCCATGCTGTATAATTCTGTAAAGTTTGTGCAAAAAATTGAAATTGGGAAAGCCCAATGATACTGGCGGATTTTAAAATTTATTTACATAATTGTGCACAAATACTATCTTCAGTTGGTTTAAAAATTCTGTGATTTAGATTACCTACTTGTAGTTTGCAAGGGACTTGTAATCATTGTGTTATTTATTTGTAATATGTATATATAGTCAAGGTGGTGGATCTATACTGTAAGCATAATAGCACACAAGGTGTTAAATAAATAACGCGCGTGGTTTAAATAGAGCTCCCTTTCGCATAGTATTTCTTGTTTAATGCCGTTTTTTTTAACGTCACTGTTCTTGCTATGGGGAATTTCAAATTTTTAGGCAACTTTAATTAGTTCACTTTAGACTAAGGAAATCTATACCGGGTGGTGCACAGTAAGTACGAACATAGGGATTTAACATGGGAAATTAGTTTTATGCAATATCCTGCTCTCCTGTACATTTTGCAGAAAAAACTGTAAAGTTTAAGTTGTTCAGAATTAAAAGGTGCATACAATAGTATATTGAAAGACAAGTGTTACAATGCGACCTATTGTAATACGACTATCTTGTGGCACGAGTGGCGACGCGAAGCGTAGCCACGAGTGTTCGCAAGATAGGAGTATTACAATAAAGCATTGTAACACGCGTTTTTCATACTATTTTTTCTATTTCGGTGCTTTAATTTATTTAAAAAAATCATTATCAGAAACTAGAGGGAACATTAGAACTAACATGTTTTATGTTGGGAACACTTTTTATGCCGTTAAGTTTTAGGTTGGCAGCGTAGTAAAGACTGACATTTTGAAGTTCAAACATGGAAGTACCCAACGAAGTACCTACTTGTACTAACTAGTAACTGCCAACTTAAGAGATGAGTTACCAAAAAAAACGACTATAATCACTGTCTTTGTACATTGTACAAAATCATCATTGTGACACCGAAATAGAAAAAATTGTTTTTACATGTTTTATTAAGCTTTTGGTATACCCGCGAATTTAAAAATAAATTTCAACATTTCTGTTATTAGTAGCAATAGCCATGACTTTTGTTGTTTTATGAATTGCTACTATAGCACGTTTGCACCCCCAGATGCAGTATGGGGTCTTATGGACTAATTGCCTCTCTTACTCGTTTGCGTCATTCTTCGATAATAGTATCCTCGTTCCTCACCGCAATGATGTCAAATTGACATATGATTATAGTGAAGTATTAAAACAAAACATAATCTCCTTGTGCTGACATTGGAGGTGCGAACCCGCTTTGCGGATATACCAAAAGCTTAAAAACATGTAAAAACAGTTTTGTATGCACCTTTTAATTCTGAACAACTTTAAACTCCACAATTTTTTTCTGTAAAATGTACAGAAGGGCAGGATATTGCATAAAACTAATTTCCCATGTTAAATCCCTATGTTCCTACTTACCATGCACCATCCGGTATGAAAGCTAAAAGTATGGAAATATTAAACAAGTTTAACTGATTATTATTAGAGGCAACCTGATATTCAAATAGAGTATAATTTGCATTTATAACTTAATTCAGTTAATGATACTATGATAAGTAGTGCATTAAAATTTGAGTTTAAGTTCACCTTAAGCACCATTCCAAAAGTGTGGGTTTATTTTACACCTTTTATGTTTTTGTTTTTTACTTTTAAGCATAATCATTACTATATTTTTTAATTAAATAAGCCAAGTCAGTCTAGTTTTATGTAAATGTGATACTTTGATCTGCCACCTGAATGTTTAAAAGAACTGAAGGTACTAACCGCAAAATCTGAATAAATGTGTTAATAAATTTTGCTAGCTTGCCGTTTTTGAATACATAATATTGTATTGATTGTGTGTATAAGTTCTAGCAATCAGTTTGAAACATGTTTTTGTATTAGGCAATATTTTCGGGTGTAATTAAATTTTTACTTTTATTAGTAGGTATTCAACTCATTGTAAAATGTAGATCTTTATAATGTTTGTATCTATACTTTGTGACTGCCTTTTTTACCTGCGTTTTTGAAATGTATCTTGACCCGCTCTTGGATCTTCTCCACAATGGTTTTAATTATTGGCGATAATGAATATTATAGTTGCGTTCTGAAAGCGTTCCATTTGTGAACTCATGTTTTTTGAAGAAATAAACTGAATAAGTATTTTATTCAACTGTGTATGAGGATTTCTTTATTGCATATATACCTACATTAAATCATTATCAGGAGTTCAAGGGATAGACCATTTTTAGATTTTTTAATATTGTCATAGTAGGAGAGACACTTTTGAGTACCTGCAAACACAGTGCTTGAGCCACTTGGAACAAGGATATTTTGAGAATGTATACAAGCCCCTTCTCACTGCAAGTACTGTGCCTCAAGGATATTATATGCGATCAAGCTCCAACCAGTTGAGTTGAGTCGAATGTATTACGTTCTTGATTTGTGTTGCGTTTAAAAAGTAAGAGAATGTTCGCACCCAGATTAGAGCTCAATTTAGGAGCGGAGGGATCAGATATTTACCCACAGTGTTTGCGGTTTTGTGTGTGGTGGTTTGTGTATTGATTGTTTTAAGTTGGTAACTGAAACTGAAAGAGTTAGTTTAAACTTTATCTACATATCATACTGATATCCCTAAATTGAGCAGCGTTTATTCCCAGTTCAGTCGACATTTTGCATATTAATAAAATAACAGAAATCTTCTATACATTGAGAAATATTGCAAATTTCAATGTGCTTCCAGGTTTCAAAATATTTGAAAGCACTTTAAAAGGTACCTTTGGAGTAAGTGCTTGAGAGCCTTGCTGCAAATGATGCAAATATACATTTTATCTGAGACCAGACGCAAGCAACTCCCTGTCTCGTAGTTTTAGTAAAGGTATGGGTTCCTAGTTTGTTTGTTTGTTATATAATATAATAACCAAACTAACTAGGAATTAGCAGTTATAATTTACTAAGGACTCTGTTCTATTTTTTTAGTTGTTATAATTCTCAGTTGTAATTTAAACCATGGTTTAACGCCAACAACATTTTTTTCGACACATCTTCGTTCTGACATCTTTTGATGCATAAACTACTATTAATCATCTATTTAAACTTCGCCATAAGTTTTATTTGTATACTTTTTTTCTTAAATATAATCATAATGAATTAAATCTACAGTATTCCTACATTATAATGTCATAGGAAATGGTAACAATATTAAATAACATAATTCTAAGTATGTACACAATATTTCTTATAGGTTTCATCTTTTCGCTTCGGTGGTTTACTCCATTTCACGAACGTAGCTTCAGTTTGTCTTTAAATAATAATGGATTTGTCTAGCAACCGATAATTAAGTTATGGCGCTCTGCTATATGAGTATTTTCTTTTCTATACGATAGAATGTTATTGTAGGTAACATAGTTGATAGAAACTTGGTGCATAATTTACAAATTACTACTTATAAATCTATAATAGTACAAAACAGATACCCTAGCCGATTCAAACGTTTTCATTCATGTTGAATCTATACGTTTATGTATAAATCACAAACTAAATTTTGTGTAAAAATTTAAAAAAAGTGTATAAGTTCATCGTCCACATGTTGGCAAATTAACTCTAAAGAATACATTTAATTCTATCAAACTAGCTAATATTAAAAACGCCGCATACATCAATAAGCAAGCTCGTCCGACTCTCTTGTCTAATTTGAATTTATTCAAAGAAAATGCGATATACAGCATCAATAATGTCGAGAGTAACGATATTGCGCTGTACTCAATGCCCGCAGAGTTAATGCCAACCTAAAAGTATACGTAAAAATTAGTCATTTGACGCGAAATACTCACCCAAAGCTTTCCTGGTATGGTTGGCATGAAAGTTGCTTTTATGAACCAGGGTAATCCTAAGCAAAGTAGTATATCAAAAGTATTCGATCCGATCGAATTACTGATACCCATTGATCCATGACCTACAAAATATTATACCAATCATCTTTATGAAGAAGATGACTAACTCACCCTGTTTAGCTACAATCACACTGGAAACTGCTTCGGGTACACTTGTACCAGCCGCCAAAAATGTTATACCCATCACGGAATCTGGAATTTTCAGTGTATCCCCTAAAATGGGTGTGTAATTGAGGCATGTACTTGTAACGCATATTTACCGATTATCGTAATCATCCAAGCTACCACATATGATAAGGAACCTATCCATATGATGCACATCATAAAAGTTAAAGGAAACCATTTTTTGAAGCGAGGTTTTTCACAGTCCGGTATTGTGAATAAAAACACAAAGTAAATCGGCCATGTAATGATCCACGTGAACTAAAATTACAAATTCTAAAGTTAGTTTTTGATAGAGCGTCTTGGTACCTTTGTAAATTTCCCTTGTTTCGACGGCCACTTCCAAAGAGAATGCTGATTGCTGGTGTCGTGACTTTCCTCGACGTTAGGCAGCTCGCTGCTTTTAATGGTGCCGTTTAACTGCGCGACGGCACCCGGACCGATTTGCGTGCAATTGCCCGACTCGTCCGAGTTAACGTGTGTCCCATCACACACCTGTTTTTCTTTTTCTATTTTGAGAGGTATTTGCGCCTCTGCCGCCTCTGGTGATAAATTTAAGTAAGTGTTTATCAAGATATGTGCGATTAAAATTAGATCAATCAATGTATAATTCGTTACTGGCGTTTTGTTGTTAATTTCAACTTTTTTGTGTTGTGAGTGGAAGGAATAAACTTACCTAAAGAGTGTGCACGTGATTTTGAAATGGAAGACTGATAGGATTGCCGCCGTTTTTGTGCACTTCTGAGTCCACCTAGGAAAAGAGGTGTCGTGAATGTATAAGTCCTATTCTACATTAAAAAGGAATAATAACAAAAAGTGTCGAGCGAATTATTCTGTAGATACCTAATAGGTGCTCATTATGGCAACTATTGTTAATGACACTCTTTTAGAAAGAGAAACTATAGACGGATTTCAGCAGCAGAGGTAACGTTTCGAGTAGGTACGAAGGGGGTACAAAATAATTGTTCACGTATTTCTACCATGTGTTTTGATATTGCCAAAGAAAAAAATTACAAACTAAACGACAGAAAAATATAGTAGATACAAACTGGTTAAATAACGGACGATCAAAAATGAGTTGCTGTCGAGTCGCCTTTGGAAGTTCAAGTTAAGTACGATTTCCCATGTAAACAAAAATTCCAAAGGTGACTCGACAGCAACTCATTTTTGATCGCATTGTATATGTAAATTAAATGTACCTATAATCCAGATTAATTGAAAAAGTTGAGGGTATCAAGAGATGCCTGCGTGATGAATATATTACCCTAGGCAAGGTCAGCATTCTGTGGTAATTGCAGCTTCTTTTCGAAATAATGAACACTCCTACAGTATTAACAATGGAAAAAAATACTACTCTTCCCCAATTAAATGGGCTTCCGTTCATATTTGTACAAACATATCAACCCAGATCTTTGACCTGGCGAAGAATATGATC